AAAAAAGAAGCAGGAGTGTGGGAACGGGATGTGGGTATAGTCCGGCAGCCATCTGATCCTGCCGATATAGAGCACTGGTCACAGACCCGCCTGCCCACACCGGTGGGTGAAAGCACACGAAGGCATGGGGTGCGGGGGTGTGTGTGTGTGTGTGTGTAACCTGTAGAATCTCAATAGGTGTGCTTGGCACAGGGAACAGGAGTTTAAGAGAGCTCCTAATCTTGCTATCAGGGAGTTGTTTGTCTCCAGCCGAGGCCGTCTGGCAGGAGAGTCACAGGGAAGCAGAAGGAGAAGAAAAGTTTTTCATATTTAGGTCAAAATCTGTCAAATTCACAGATATTTAATGTCCGTCACTGGTCTCCAGGTCTGACCAATCTTGTTGCTAAGCCACTAGTTTCACACCCATGTTTTCCTATTTGCGGTCCAAGGCCACAGTCTGGTTTGTAGCGACCCTGCTCACCAGCGCGCCAATCCAGTCAGCCAGCTTGGTTGGGTTTTGGGCCGCGCTGACTGCTTTTATCAATCATCGATACCCCAGGGCTGCACACAAGCCCATCAGCAGAAGCCTGTTATCACAGTTCCCTGTTAAAAAGCCACCTCTGCCACACGTCTATCCCGTATCCAGCTGCGAACGTCCCCACAGGACAGGTTCCCCTGAACCCAGACTCCTCGTTGAGAAAATAGTATCAATGACATTCAGAGACCAGATGATCGAATCTATAATCCCTCATGTGCTTAAAGAGCAGAGCAAGGAGAACCTCAGAGACAGCAAAAGACTAGACAAGAGGAGTCAGCCAGGAGAGATGCGGGAGGGAGAAGTGTGACCGGCTCTGCTGAGAGCCAAAGAAGAATCCTCCACTGCCACTGCCGGGAACACATGTGGGATTACAGCAGTGTGTGTGTGTGTGTGTGTGTGTGTGTGTGTTCATCAGTACTGATGTTTCTCTCAGGTGGACCTGAATGAAGAGGAGACCATCCTGATCATCCGGCGTCTGCATAAAGTTCTCCGCCCCTTCCTGTTACGCAGACTCAAGAAGGAAGTGGAGGCGCAACTGCCGGAGAAGGTGAGGATGCAGTCAGACATCTGTGTGTGTGTGTGTGTGTGTGTGTGTCCACTTACTGCCCCCTGTGGTGTGTGTGTGTGTGTGTCCTCCTGCAGGTGGAGTATGTCATCAAGTGTGATATGTCGGCTCTTCAGAGGGTTCTGTACCGACACATGCAGGCCAAAGGGGTTCTGCTGACCGACGGCTCCGAGAAGGATAAGAAAGTGAGGAAGAGTGTGTGTCAGTCTGCGTAAGAAGAGTGTGTGTGTGTGTGTGAATCCGCATGTGTGTCACAGATCTCCTGTATGGTCATTATCCCAGTCTCGATGTGGTGAAGATGACCTGTTTTGCCTTGTTTGATTGATTGTGTGTGTGTGTGTGTGTGTGTGTGTGTGTGTGTGTTTCAGGGTAAAGGCGGCACTAAGACTCTAATGAACACTATAATGCAGCTGAGGAAGATCTGTAATCACCCCTACATGTTCCAGCAGATTGAGGTGTGTAACACGCATGGCATAATGTGTGTGTGTCATCAGAGTGTGTGTGTATATGTATTTGTGGTAGTGTGTATAGCGTCTGGCGAGGTTCTGTTGTTCTGATTTTGAACCGCTGCTCTTCCGGAGACATTCTCAGAGCATCTGGGCTTCTCCGGCGGAATCGTTCAAGGGTGAGCGCAAACACACACACACACACAAATACACACACACACACACACACACACACACACACACATATCTGATCGCACATCATTAATGAACTGATTAACCTTCATTATGATCTGACCCACAGGCTGGATTTATACCGAGCCTCGGGGAAGTTCGAGGTGCTGGACCGCATTCTGCCAAAACTACGAGCCACAAACCACAAAGTGCTGCTCTTCTGCCAGATGACGTCTCTGATGACCATCATGGAGGATTACTTCGCCTACCGCAACTTTAAGTATCTGCGTCTGGACGGTGAGTGTGTGTTGCAGTGCTGTGTTTGCTCATGTTGGTGTGGATTGTGTGTTGATGAAGATCTCCTGAAGACCTCCTCAGAGATCAGCTTAATTCAGAACAGGCAGAAGACGAATGCTGGACTGCCGGGATTAGGGTTTGTGTGTTTGTGTGTTTTAGGCACCACGAAGGCTGAGGACCGGGGGATGCTGCTGAAGACCTTCAATGATCCGGCCTCTCAGTACTTCATCTTCCTGCTGAGCACCAGAGCGGGCGGCCTGGGCCTGAACCTGCAGAGCGCCGACACGGTCATCATCTTCGACAGCGACTGGAACCCTCACCAGGTACACGCCTTCATCTTCATCTTTATCACCGTAATCGTCATCTTCATCTTCCTTCTCTGCTGTTCTGCAGGACCTCCAGGCGCAGGACCGAGCACACCGCATCGGGCAGCTGAATGAGGTGCGGGTTCTGCGTCTCTGCACCGTCAACAGTGTGGAGGAAAAGATTCTGGCGGCCGCAAAA